GTGTGTGTGTGTGTGTGTGTGTAGGCTGGGGCTTCAGTATGGGCACAGAATTTCAGTTCCACGCCTGGCGAGTGTTCGTCTTGGTTGCGGCTCTCCCTGCAATTGCTTCTCTGGTTGGACTTACCTTTATGCCTGAGAGCCCACGTTTCCTCCTGGAGGTGAGACTGTTAGCATGGTGTTTCTTTGTAAACCTGCCTGCAAAGTGTACACATGTGGAAAGAACATAGCTGGCATAGTTGTTAATCAATTTAAAAGAGACCATGAAAGTGTTGTTGGAGATCACCGAGATAGTTCACATTCACCATAGATGAACACTGACAACAGTTTTTTTTTTCTTTGTAACGTTTTTCCATGGCCGTGTGTAAGTTTGAATACATCTGCCTGTGTTTGTTTATGGAGCAGAATGGCAAACATGATGACGCGTGGATGATCCTAAAACAGGTCCATGACACTAACTGGAGATCCAAGGGGCAGCCGGAAAAAGTCTTCACTGTAAGTAAATGATTTTAATTAACAATGATTCTTATTGCACTTTCAAATAAACTGATTTTTGTATTTGATGGTAACTTTTAAAATTTTTATTTACAACAATAAAGCGAAACCGCTCAAGGATAACTAACAGCTTACGGCACGCATTAATGTTAAGTGAAGATTTTCACTTTTTTATAAGTGTCATTTCTGAATTTACCTTTACTTACCCATGCACTGACACATAAATGTATTGCTCTAGTGAGATATTTAGTAACACAGTCATTATTCTGGTACTGTCATGGTTTCCTGCTTCTTCTTCTTCTTTTTTTGCATCTAAAGAGACATCTGTGGCTTCTAATTTATTGATGGAGCAATAATCTATTATATTTATCAATCTGCTTGTATTATTGGCTGAGTGTCTACCCTTGATAAAAAAAACTGTTTGGTCAGAATATATTGTGAATGGAGGGATTTTTTTCTAGCTGGATCTTTGCCGGGTTTAAGTAGTAGACTAATGATGTTTGCAGATAGAGTCTAATCGTTCTGAATTTGAGTGACCATTCTGAAAAAAGTAGGAGCCGTGTAGGCCAAAATTCTTTGTAAAATTATGCTGGAAAACCATCTTGAACTGGGGCTTTATTTCTCAGGAGATGCTGTTGGGCTTCATCATTCAGACATTGAAAGAAGTGAATCCAGACCCACAATTTGTTCTTCAGTTTTAGATTAGATTAGATTAGATTAGATTAGATAGAACTTTATTAATCCATCTGGTGGGTTCCTCCAGGAAATTCAGTTTCCAGTTGCAGAACACCAACAGAAGTTGCATATTACAGAGTAATATCAAATAAAGGGGAATGAGGGAGTGCAAACATAAGCATAAAAATATAGCATATATACACATATATAAATACTAGTGCTGTCAGCGTTAATCTTGTTAAAATGATGTTAACGCCATAAACGCATTATCGCCCCGTACGTGGGGCTGCACAATGCTAACGCGTTAACGAGCTCACTGTGCTAATGCGTTGATGAGCTAACCACGCTAACACGTTGACTCCGTGCAGCCCCACGCACGGGACGATCCGCGTTAATGAGCTAACAGAGATTTGTCACGTTAATGCAGTTATGGCGTTAACGTCATTTTAAGAAGATTAACGCTGACAGCACTAATAAATACAGAATATATAATAGAAATAAATAGGAATACTAGTGAAATATACTCATTAATGAGATGTAGACAGCCAAAGTATAATGCACATTTCAACTATTGCAAGTCTATTGCACAGTGAAAAAACACTACAGCTTAGTTGCCCTCCTTTATCCTCCTGTTTCCCCTCACTCTCCCCTCCAGCGAGGAGTTAAACAGTTTGATGGCGTGTGGGACAAAGGAGTTTTTAAGTTTGTTGGTCCAAGATTTTGGTAGAAGCAACCTGTTGCTGAGCAGACTCCTCTGGTTGTTTATGACCATATACAGAGGATGCCCGGCTTTCTCCATAATGTCCTGCAGTTTCTTTAATCCTCTTCTCTGCCACTGACCCCAGAGTGTCCAGCTTCATGCCAACCACAGAGCCAGCCTTCCTGATTAGTTTTTTCAGCCTGGATGAGTCCTTCTTTGCTGTGCTGCTCCTCCAGCACACCACAGCATAGAATAGTACTCCGGCAACCACCAACCGGGAAAACATCCTCAGGAGCTTCCTGCAGATGTTGAAAGACCTCAGTCTCCTGAGGACATACAGGTGCTGCATGTTGCATGACCAGTGCAGTTTGTTGTCCTCCCACAATCCAAAGTACTTGTACTCGTTGACCACCTCCTCTCCCTCCTTCTGAACTGGCAGTGGACCTGGTCTGGACCTCCTGATGTCCACAACCAGTTCCTTGGTCTTTGAGGTGTTGAGTTGCAGGTGGTTTGTGCAACTCCATGTAACAAAGTTCCTCACCAGACTCCTGTACTCCTCTTCCTATTCACCCCAGATACACCCTATGATGGCTGTGTTGTCTGCAAACTTCTGAATGCATGATTCAGAGTTGTAGCAGAAGTCAGAGGTGTACAGGGTAAAGAGAAGAGGGGACAGCAGAGTTCCCTGTGGTGCCGCAGGTTAGAGCCCAGATAAATGCCACACTCAGTTCCAGTAGCACTCATCTCTACATCAACTGTTCAGAGGAGACTGTGTTAATCAGGATTTTATGGTCAAATAGCTGCTAAGAAACCACTACTAAGGAAAAGCAACAAGCAGAAGAGATTTGTTTGGGCCAAGAAACACAAGGAATGGACATTAGACCAGTGGAAATCTGTGCTTTGGTCTGATGAGTCCAAATTTAAGATCTTTGGTTCCACCCGCCGTGTCTTTGTGTGATGCAGAAAAGGTCTCTACATGCATGGTTCCCACCATGAAGCATGGAGGAAGAGGTATGATGGTGCTTTGCTAGTGACACTGTTGGGGATTTATTCAAAATTGAAGACACACTGAACCAGCATGGCTATCACAGCATCCTGTGCAACATGCCATCCCATCCAGTTTGCGTTTAGTTGGTCGATCATTTATTTTTCAACAGGACAATGACCCCAAACACACCTCCAGGCTGAGTAAGGGGTATTTGACCAAGAAGGAGAGAGATGGAGTGCTGCACCAGATGGCCTGGCCTCCACATTCACCTGATCTAAAACCAATCAAGACGGTTTGGGATGAGATGGACCACAGAGTGAAGACAAAAGTGTCAGTGCTCAGCATCTCTGGGAACTCCTTCAAGACTGTTGGAAAACCATTTCAAGTGATGACCTCATGAAGCTCATCGAGAGAATGCCAAGAGTGTGCAAAGCAGTATTCAAAGCAAAGGGGGGCTGTTTTGAGGAATCTGAAATATAAAACATGTTTTGAGTTATTTCACGCTTTTTTATTTCATAAATAATTCCATATGTGTTCATTTGTAGTTTTACAGTGTATATAGTCATGAAAATAAAGAAAAAGCATTAAATGAGGAGAGAGAAACCAAGTCTGTTCTGATATGAATATACCTAATTCCTATCCACATTATTAATTCTATTTTTTCGGTTAAGAAAAATTCACATTGAGAACCATGAGGCACCAGTCCACCATTGGATTTGACTGAAACAGCTACTGGTTAAAGCAGCTGCTCTTATTTTAAAATGTCTGGATGAGAAACTAAAACTGATGCTAAAGAAATCTGTTATGTTAAGAAAAAGCTACTTCGCAGTGTTTTTCAAAAAGTTTCCTGTTTGTTTTTTTTTTTATAGGTGGTGCACATCAAGACACCGAAAACAACTGAAGACGGTTTTTTCGAGGTTCAGAGTGCAACAAGAACACCTGTACAACGATGGGCTGTACGCTCACTGACACTCTGTAAACTGGTATGTAGGAACACAGACTGGAGCAGCATCTCTAGCTCAGAATCTGGCTTGGACTTATTTTGTATTATTGTAGGTTTTTTACCTTACAATATTAGGTGCCTATTGTGATTTAGCGCTATATAAATAAAATTTAATTTACTGAGGGGTCAGAGAAGGGTGAATGTGGGTTTGTCCTAGTTAAATGTTATGTTCCCCCAGATAGTTCAAGGGATGTCAAGAAATAACAATAAAACTCTCCAGGTTGAAAGTGTCAAAGGACATGACACAAATGAATTTATTATTGTTATTATTATTACTTTAATTATTTATTTGTTAATAACTTAACTAAAAGAGACAGAGAAGCTACTATCACCACCAAAAAGGAAGCACACAAAACACGTAGTTTGGTCAAACAATTATAAATGATCAAAACACAATCTTCTCCGCTGACTAGGAGGAAAGTTACAAGCAAACAGCACACACTATAAAGAGAATGACACTCTGGCACCAGAGCTCGAATTTGCTTGACACAAACCTCCAGTGTTAATTTTGGCAGAAAATTTTGACTAAAAACTTTTATTAAACATAATTTACACATCTTAAGTCTTTTTGTTTTGTTATACTTTTAGTAGACTAAATCTAAAGTTGATTTAATAGACTAAAATATAAAGTGTAAAAGTTTGTCATGTTTTTACTGGTGAGAGTTGATCCACATGCTTTAAAAAGAGTGATTTTTCACACCTGTAGTATTTAGTCCATTCAAATGGGACTCTGCTGTATTCTCCCATTTGGTGAGGTTTGTTTGTGCAGGTGTGAACACAGTAAACACAGGCTACGTCCACACGTACCCGGGTATTTTTGAAAACACAGATTTTTCTATGCGTTTGCACCTTTCGTCCACACGTAAACGGCGTTTT